TAGTTCAAAACAGTCGCACAGGGCTGTAGCACAAAGGGAAAAAATGAATTAGGGGCTGAGGCTTACCAGTGGGGGGATAGGGTCGACGAGTGAGTGGAAGGATCCCCAAACAAACCAAACTTAAATCACCCCAGTCATACGTGCAGGAAATCAAATCCTGGGGGAGCACATCACACACAAAAGAAGGGAGGAAAACCACCACCTTGGACACCAGCACCACCAGCTTCAGCTCTCAGTAACTAAGTAGGGAAACAAAGAGGCAAACGCAGTTAATGGGGGCAAAATACGTAAATCAAAGTAATAAACAAACACAATATCAAATATGTTCTCATAAACAGATGATAACTGTTGGGGAAATATTTTCCAAGGTCCATAACTTTGACCCAGTGTATCAGTTCATACTGTCCTGACTGAGCACACGCACCTGTAACCTTGGCTGCTGTGCTCTCAGTGTTTTGTCTCCCTGTTCCAGCCTGTTGGCGTCAGCTGATAGAGGTGTTATGATTCTATCTTGTTATGCACAATGTTGATTATTCTCTCAGAACTAGCTAAACACATGGGTCTGGGGGGGAGTTCTTCAGATTTAACGTGGCAACTCTACCGTGAAGTCAGAACCTCTGGCTCTTGGACTTGTGATGTGAATTCTCCGGCCGAAGCTCCTAAATAAACCATCAGTGTTTGACATCAAAGCTCCAGCTCTCCCCGTGTCTCCCACTGCATTGCTACACAGAAGTTTCCCCCACAATAACAATTGTGTAAACATTTAAAAATAGAACAAATCACAAGAGAAAAGGTTCAGTCAAACAAAATAAACAATTAACTAGAATAAAATAAACAAGCTAGTTTAAATCAAGTTGGCCAAAGTAAGGACAAGTTATAGAGGGAGTTAGCCCCAGAGTTCAGTGACTTCCACACTTCAAGTGTCGGCCCAAGCAAGGCAGCAGGAAGGCGTACAGTTAAAGCAGCATTTTACTGGTGAGCGAGCATCCGCAGTAGGCGACGCAAAGCTGGCCAGAAGCAGCAATCAGAAGCAACGATTATGTAGCGGTAGCCCAAACATTTAGGCAGGATCAGCAGCAGTTGTGACGTTACTGCCGATAAACACACTTTCTCCGGTGAAGCAAAACAGCAGATGTCCCTTAAACATTGGATTGGCCCTAGGTTTATGAATAAATACAAATATAGCGTTAATATCAATACAAGTAATGAGGTGGATTGACTAAATAGATCGCCGTACAGCGCACATACCGATCAGGCTTTCCTATCGATGACGCAGAGAGGGGAGAGCTTCACGCTCTTTATGGCTGTGTTGACAGGCTGCACCGGGAGGATCCTCCACTAGGTGAGTCAAAGCAGGGCTAAGTATCAATACGCTGGCAAATTGCAGAACCTTTCCTGAAGCGAGCAATGCTACTGCAACATACCTGCACCGGTGGCGGAAGCAAACACGGCAAACACGCAAGTGGGGCGGGTCTGTGTACCAACAAACAAGAGACAGCCAGCTAGAAACCTCTGCCCTTTTATAGGGTGCCCCCTGGTGGTGATATGCTCACAAGAGCCAAACGAGGAGAATATGCTTTACAAGGGATTAGGACTCTCATCCTGCTACACTTAGAAAGAAAAGACAGGAGACTTCCGGTTTGATGAGGGAGTGAGCAGACGTGTGTGTGGAGGGCTCCTGACAAACTTTTCTATACCTTTCAAATACCTTTCAAAGCCGATTTTGTAACCGATTCAAACCACGCTCATATTTAAGGGAACTATGAAGTAATGACTAGGAAACAGAAACAGCCATCGACATCAACCACACAAACAACCAGAGCTGCGACCACAGCGGCTAAGATAGCAGCTAACATGGCTGCCGCTTGCCCAGTTACCAAGGGGGACTTGGAGGCTCTTCTCAGCAAACAAAGTCATAGTTTCAAATCCGACATGGCTAGACTGATACAAGAATCAACGGATTCCCTGGAGAGGTCGGTAAACTCACTAGGACAACAAGTGGCATCGTTCAACAGCCGTCTCGACAAAACCGAAGTAGTGGTGGGTGAAAACGTTGGGAAACTCACCGTGATGGAAGCCGCTGTTCAGTCCCTACAGTCCCAAACCATCACATTCCAGGAGCGGGTGGACAACCTCGAAAACCGGTCCAGGCGGTCCAACTTTGGGATAATAAACATACCCGAGGGGCGCGAGAGGGGTCAGGACCCGACAAAGTTTGTGTCTGACTTGATAATGGAGGTGACGGGTCCCGGTGTTCTCAGCAGTCCTCCGGAGATAGAACGAGCCCACTGTTCCCTCGGTCCCAGACCGGGAGACTCCAACAACACGGGGAAGCCTCAGGCCTTCATTGTCAAATTTCTCAGTTTCCAGGAAAAGGAGGCAGTCTTAAAATGGGCCAGACAACACAAGCTGTATTACGGCGGCACCGAGTTGAGAGTGTATCCTGATATCAGCACTGTCCTAGCCAAAAAGCGAGCTGCGTTCAACCCCATCAAGAATTCTCTTTACCAGAAAGGAATACAATTCCGCCTGTTGCACCCAGCTCGTCTTCATGTTTCATTCAGAAATGACGATTACTACTTTGACTGTCCGCAAAAAGCCCAGGACTTCTACAACCAACGCATTGTCCCGCCCGAGTAGTGGGAGGCTGTGGAGCACGGACTTTCTCTGGACTGAATGCACGGCAAATAAACACTCACAAACGGACATCTCAGGAAAGGGTGAAGTTGAAATGTTTAACCTGAGTCTGTTTGTATTAAGATATCCTGATATGGATCCACTGTGAGGTATGGATGTTGTTATCCAGCATGTGCACTAGATTTCCTCTGTTGTTGTGTGATACTGTGGCCACTTCCGGTGTTAAAGGGGCACGGTCCGGGGGAAACAAGACTTGCTAGGAACCTTTTTTGTTTCATTTCTGGTTTGTGCGGTTAACTTTATATTGGCTACAAACAACACTAGACTGTTTACTCTACATGTCAGACCAATTGTAGAGATAGGAGCCCTGTCTGCTCAGGAACATTAGTTAGATTATAGGTTAATGTCATACGGAAGTGACATATTTTTTTGGAGTCCTGCTGCTAGTTCTCGTTTTCGGAACAAGCTTAGGAAAGGGAATATGTGTTTGGCTCTCCTTTTTGAGAGCATTTTTTTTGGGGAGAATTTGGGTGTTAGGTCCTACTATGTTTATTTTTGATTTTTGTTGTTCGTTTCTCCTGCTTTCCATTAAATAGGCCCCATGCTACCTCTTCATATACTTCTGGGTCACATTTTGATGATGGTTAATGTAGGACAGGAAATGGTGGAGCATGTCTAAGACTTGTCTCTTGGAATGTTAAGGGCATGAATGCCCCAGTTAAAAGAGGCAGAATATTTCCCCCATTTTCCAAACATCTTAAAACTGAAATTGCCTTTTTACAAGAAACTCATCTGACCACCAAGGACTACCATAGGTTAAAGGCATCATGGGTTGGCCAAACCTTTCATTCCAATGTTAGTAGTAGAGCAAGAGGCGCAGCTATTGTGATGCATAAAAAATACAGTTCAGCCCGACTAAGGTTATAGCGGATCCTCAAGGTCGCTTTGTGATAGTCTCTGGTTCCCTCAATAATGTCAATGTTGTTCTCGCCAATCTATATGCGCCCAACTGGGATGATGAAGCATTCATGGGAAAGGTGATATCATTATTACCCAACCTAAACTCCCACCATTTGATTTTGGGCGGTGATCTCAACTGTACAATGGACCCGCTTTTAGACAAATCTAGCCCAAAACGGGACTACCCCTCTAAAATGGCTAAAGCCATCTCATTATTTATGAGTCAAACAGGATGTGTGGACCCATGGCGTTTTCTCTACCCCAAAGTGAAATAGTTTTCTTTCTACGCCTTGGTTCACAAAACATTCTCGAGAATCGACTATTTTTTTATCGTTAACTATTTTCTTCCCGCTGTCAAAAGCAGAGAATACTCAACCATAGTGATATCCGACCACGCCCCATTACTACTTGACCTCTCATTCACACTGTTACTAAAGACACGTCCCCCCTGGAGACTGAACTGTACACTGTTAAACGATGATCGATTCTGTGAAACAATCTCTAAAGCTATTGATGATTTCCTTACAACCAATATGTCTGATGGGATATCACCATCTCTTTTGTGGGAGACGTTAAAAGCTGTGATCCGAGGAGAGACTATCTCTTACTCTGCAAGGCAAAACAAATTGAAAAAGCAAAAACGGTTAGAAATGTTGGGCAGTATAGCAAAACTAGATAGCAAACTCTCAACATGTCCATCCCCTGAATTAGATAAAGAAAGGCAAAATCTTCAGATGGAATACAATTTACTTTCAATGCAAGAGACTGAGAAATTGCTTTTAAAATCGCGTGGATTTCAGTATGAACATGGGGAGAAGGCGGGTCGTCTCCTAGCGCACCAAATTAAGAGCCAGTCGGCTTCCCAACAAATTAAACAAATACGGAACCCTACTCGTGAACTCACAACAATCCTATCTGTTATCAATGACACCTTTAAAACCTTTTACTCTGGACTATATGCCTCACAAGCTCCTGTCGATAATGCGGACAGAACTCAATTCTTGGATGATCTGGAATTTCCGTCCATAACACCTGCTCAGAAGGGTGAGTTGGATCAACCTCTAAAGCCCAGTGAAATAGCTGACTCGATCAGGCTGATCCAGAGTGGCAAGGCCCCCGGCCCAGACGGCTATCCAATTGAGTTAAAAAAAAAAAGTATTGATAAATTGACCCCCCTTCTTTTGAGAATGTTCGAGGACTCTCTGGACCGGGGAACGTTGCCACAAACGCTCACTGATGCGGTAGTAATCGTATTATTAAAACCAGGCAAGGAAAATTCTGAATGTAGCTCCTATCGCCCCATCTCCCTTCTGAATGCGGACTATAAGATCCTAGCTAAAATACTAGCCATACGCCTTGAATCAGTCAAGCCAAACATCATATCATTAGACCAAACTGGGTTTATGAAAGGACGATACTCCTTCTCCAACATCCGTCGCCTTCTCAACATCCTCCTCTCTCCTGCATCCAAGGAGACACCAGAGGTGGTGGTCTCATTGGATGCAGAGAAAGCGTTCGACAGGGTGGAGTGGGGCTTTCTATTTGAGGTCCTTAAGAGGTTCAGCCTCGGATCCAAATTTGTGTCGTGGATAGCATTGTTATACTCTTCACCCAAGGCTTCAGTGAGTACGGGATGAATTCTCAATATTTTACACTAGGTAGAGGAACTCGCCAGGGTTGCCCTCTAAGCCCGTTACTATTCGCCATGGCGATCGAACCCTTATCAATTGCGCTTAAATCTGCCAGCTTTACACAAGGAATGACCAGATATGGTTCAGAACACATACTCTCGTTATACGCTGACGATTTACTATTGTTCATTTCTAACCCTATATCTACCATTCCTCAGATAATAGATCTGTTAACTCGATTCGGAACCTTTTCAGGGTACAAGCTAAACTTTTCCAAGAGTGAGTTCTTCCCTGTAAATGACCTGGCCCTTCAGATCCCCGATAGACTCATCACCTTTAAGATGTCCAGAAGTAATTTTAAGTACTTAGGTGTGAATATAAGTGGAAAACTCTCAGACCTTTACAAAAACAACGTCCCACCACTAATTGACAAGCTCAAATTTGATTTGGAAAGGTGGAATAATTTACATTTAAAGGAGAGGTGTCATGGCCATTTCTACTGATCATAATTCCATTGTTGAGGTATACTAAAATAGATTTATACTGTGCATTTTTCCAAACTCACATTGGCTTCTCATACAGCATCTCTGTCTGTTATCAGCCTGCAGCCAGGGAGGAGAAATCAGCTGAGCTGCCTGCTCCCTGCACACAGATGTGTGTGTGAGGAAGTCCGTGGATTGGTCAATTTGGACCAATCAGCGGGGGCTTAAGGTAACGGCTCCGCGGACGTAACGTAACGGCTCCACGGATTGGTCCATTTCGTTCCGGGTACGGCATGACATCATGCCGTACCCGGAAGAATCAAATGGACAATGACGTATCTCCAACGAGGCGTTTTGGGGAGGTATGCATAAAAACCTTCATAACACACAAAGGGACGGGTAATAACCGAAAAAGCATGACACCTCTCTTTTAAGTATCGCTGGGAGGGTAAACTGTATCAAAATGAACGTTCTCCCTCGCTTCCTGTACCTCTTTCAATGTCTGCCAGTCTTCCTACCCAAATCACTTTTTCGTAAAATAGACACACTAATCTCCTCTTTCATATGGCAAGGGAAGACTCCTAGAATTAGGAAAGAGCTTTTACAATGGCACAGATCTACAGGAGGAGTAGCGCTTCCAAACATAAGACACTACTATTGGGCAGCCAATATCCACAACATAATTTTATGGACTAAGGAACCAACATTGAGTTGGTGTGAGCTTGAAGCCAAATCCTGTCCTACTACCTCACTTTTGGCTTTGCTTACATCTATTACCCAGCCGGCCGACTCAATATTCGAATAACCCGATAGTTGTTTCCACCCTAAGAATATGGTCCCAATTCAGAAATGTTCATGGACTTAATGGATCCTCTATTCATAGTCCCATTCGCAACAACCATCTCTTTCTCCCCCCTTACACTGATGGGGCCTTCTCTATGTGGCAGAGATTAGGTCTTATCAGAGTAAGAGACCTTTATATCAACAATGTTTTCGGTAGCTTTAGCCAACTCTCTGACAAATGTTGCCTCCCAGACTCTCATCTATTTCGCTACTTCCAGGTCCGTAACTGGGTTAAACTAAATAACCCTTCTTTCCCCAATATCCCTCCGGATTCAATAATTGACTCAATTCTGGACACTCTAATAACCGAAAAAGGTTTGATTTGAAGAATTTACTATTCCGTCTCCCGTCTCTCAGAAACATCTCTTGGTAAAATCAAACAAGATTGGGAAGAGGAACTAGTCCAAGCAATATATGATGATGTCTGGGATGGCGCATTAGCGAGAGTGAACAATAGTACGTCCTGTTCCAGGCTCAATCTTATACAATTTAAAGTTGTCCACCGTATCTATTACACCAACTCTAAACTGTCCAAAATATACCCAGATGCCACACGTCACCAGCAAACATGACTCATATGTTTTGGTCTTGTCCTCGCCTACAAGGATACTGGACAAGCATTTTCAAACACCTTGCTCAGGCCTTGGACGTGGTATTGACACCATGTACAGAAACTGCCATTTCTGGAGTACTACCTGGCCACCGAATGATGAGGAGGAAAACTAAGGACAGTATAGCCTTTGCATCTATTTTAGCACGTAGAAGAATACTCCTAGAATGGAAATCTTCGATACCACCTAAAGCATCTCTATGGCTCAAAGATCTAATGATGTACCTGAACTTGGAGAAAATTAAATATAACCTGAGGGGCTCTTCAGAACTATTTGAATCTGTCTGGGGCTCTGTGTTAGCCTACATAGCTGAACTTAAGACACTACATTAAGAAGATAGGGGGGAATTATGAATGTATGTTTTTTTTTTTCTGTCTTTATATACATGTATGTATGTACGTGTATGTATGTGTATGTGTATATGTGTGTAGGTATGTACATATATATATATATGTGTATGTGTATATGTGGGTATACATATGTGAGTATATGGGTACATGTATTATTGTTATTATTCTTTATTTCCTTATCTATTAATTTTTTTATATTATCTTTTACATTACTTTATTTGTACCTATATGTATCTATTTACTTTACTAGCTAGGACCGGGAGGGGAGGGGGGGAAAGGGAAAAATATTGACTGTATAAATGTAAACTCATTGTGCCTGACTCAATAAAAAGAAAAGAAAAAAAAAGAAAGAAAAGACAGATGTTATTTTCATCCCAGATGTTGATATAATGAGGAGAACGATATGTATTTCCCTTTTTGCCTGTCTCTACATAACCAAGAAATGCTCTGACAGAGGGAAGTTATTGATTAGCTTAACGTGCATGGAATTATCCACATTAGCTATCAGGTCTGTTGAATTGGAACCACAGTCACACATTCTCAAAGAGGACAATGCATGTGTTATATTTATAAAAGTTTCATTTCAGCTCATACCAGCAAATAAGTTTCACTCCTCTGGCAATTAAGTTTTACTCGTCTGGATTCATGCATTGCTCATTACAGATTATCACACAGCAGAAGACATATGACTGTAATGAGCAGAATTGCGTGTAATTCTCAGTGCAAGCAAAGTGAGCAGGGAGCAGATGTCCAAGCTAACTTGTAATAGATTGTAATGAACACCACAGGGACTGTGTTAGGAAAATGATGCTTAATGAACATTTTGATTTTAGTTTGGCGTGTACTATGTATATAAATTAGTAAACAAATAAACATGAAATTATACAGTATGCTCTTTCATAAAGGCTGTTAGTGGGTAAAAAGTGCCTAATACTCTGCAAATCCCCCCTCAGTGAGGCGAAGGACACTTCGGCAGTCATCTTCACAGCCCCCAGCCCCCACACGCCATGTTTCCCTTTGTCCTTCTTATCATTTTACCTAATTGAGAAACATCACGTCTGCAAGAATCATAATTTTATAAGTCTGTTTTCTTTTTGTGTAATGGCTCTGCTATCATCCAAAAAAAGAGAGTAGACATTGATTAGTACATCTCTTTTTACATTTACATTTTGCAATCAAGCTTATAAAAAACAATAAATTCAGTGTGATGATGTTGCCCATATGCTAGTTGATATTATAAATACCCTGATAAATGTTGTACAGAGTTAACAGCCATTTAACAGTTTGGTTATGATTAAAATGCATTCTTGATGACTACATCTCAGTTTCATTTGTGAATATATAATATTAGAATGATGTTGTTATACAGATTAGGATCTATTATAAGATATTCAAAGAAAGAAGTTACAAAAAACGTCTAATTTAAAAAATAAAGTTATCCTAACCCTGGAAAAGCCACATATTAAATATCACACATTAAAAGGATTCTTCATCTTTCCATCTGATTCTATGAAGAGCAGCACAGTGACTACAGATTAGCTTATTTATAGATGTAAGCATTTCAAACAAGGTCTTGAATTTTGGTTTAACAACAAAAACCGGCATTACTAGAAGATTTTAAACAATGACACTCACCTGTAAAAAGGAGAGATGATTGTCTGTCTTCATGTCTGAATCATACTGCACCTTTTACAAAGAGACCAGGGGGATGGGAGGGCTGGGAAGTGGGCGCATGCAACAATAGTCACAGTACCAAAAAAACAGTCTCCTGCCATCTCCCCTGCCAATTCAAACGACTGACAAATATTGTGACATGTTGAGTAAGGACGGACCATTAACCGTATAACTTTGAAATGTGCAGATTTGTACAGCAGTGCGTACAGTGTACTATTCTAAAACATACCATTTATTTTCTCCAGAGTAAGCAGTGCAAACCCTAGATGTTTTTTCTTATTTGTAGAATCACTTTTTTTAATGTAGTCCTAGTTCTAGGTAAGGCATTGCCATTAAGGCCACCATTTTTGCCCAGACTGAAGATACATATTTTTTGGCATACTGTACATGCATGGTCCCCAGAGGGAGTGATCTCTTGTAGTGCCACCAGCAAACTACATGTTTTGTTTTTTAGCGAAAATTGCCTACAACTGTAGAATGGAATGTAATGATATTTGATTCAATCAATCAATCAATCAATGTTTATTTATATAGCCCAATATAAGACACCAAAAAGGAAATTTGGGGGAAGCTGGGTTATTCGGAACATGAGAGTACACAGGCACAGACAGAGAGAAGGAAGAAGTAAGGTGTCCCCCGACAATCTAAGCCTATAGCAGCAAAACTAGGGGCTGAATCTAATCAGCCCTAACTATAAGCTTTATCAAAAATGAAGTTCATAAGCGCACTCTTAAAAACGGATAGGGTGTTGTGACGACCCCTGCTTCAAGGTCTCCTGTGGGGTGCATGGCCCTTTAACGTTTCTCCTCTTTTGTGTGACGACCTGATTGAGGACACCTGGCGGCTGTCGGAGGATTTAAGAGGAGGAGCCGGAGTCTCGATGGCTCTCTCCCCGCAGAGGACCGGACCTCGGATAGCAGCCACGTCGCCTATGTTTTTTGTTGCTTTGTCTTTTTGTTTGTCTTCGGACACATTAAGTTTTTGATAAATAAACACCTTTTTTACATATTCTTGTCCTTCCCACGCTTTTTGTTATGGCTAAGAGCCAGGCCATGACAGATGGGGGCTCGTCCACTTCTTTTATCTATGATACAGCAACGGATAGGTAAGATTTGTGTTGGGAGTTGGTGCGCGTGTATAAAGTTTGTTGGGAGCGCGTTTGCAGTGCGGCCGGTTTCTTTGTTTCGGCTCGTTGTGGGAAGGACATTTCAGATCGTTGTTTGGGGACATATTTGATTACTTTGTGAGGATTTGATTTGTTTGGTATTATATTTTGGGAGAGTGGTTGCTAGTTGTTCTTAGCCGTGGTCAGCTGTTTGTTTTTGTTTCTTTCTCCTTTCTCTCTCGTGGGGGTTTGTTGGTGCGTTGCAGGTGGAGCAGTGCGGAGCGGTGCGGAGTTTTCCCTGGCAGGTTAAGCGGCGGTTCCCTTGGGATTGTTGAGCGGGGTGTGTAGTGTTGCGGAGAAAGTGGTTGAAGCTTCGGCTTGGGAGCATGGCCGTGGTCACAGTAGTGTTGCTAGCTTGCTAGTCGCTTTGCTGGGCCAGCGGTCTCCGGTGCATAAATACCCACCACAAGTAACTGCATGAAGACTAGGGAGGAGATTAGTCAGTGGGATGGTGAGTTAGTGGGGAAACTCCAATCAGAACATTAGTGTTGTTCCACTTTGGACGCATAATAAGTGTGGTGGTATCTGTTCGGGTTGTTTTTGTGTTTTTTTTCTTTCTAAGCTCTCGGTTTAAAGGTCCGGAGTTGTGTTCCGGTGAGGGGTCGTTGGAAGTTAATATGGCTGACGTAGAGGCATTTATTGAAGCTCCGTCTCAGGAGTTGCTTGGTACTTTTTCAAGAGAGCAGCTGCTCTTAATTGCTGAGCATTTCTCTGTGTCTATTGTCGGGGATAGAAGGGTGAAAGACAACATAGGACTCTATAGTGTCGACGTTAAGGGAGACGGGAGTTTTTGCTGCAAAGGAAGAGGGGGTTTTGTTAAAACCTCGTTTTCAGGCAAGTGCACTTTCTTTTGAGCAGCAGAGGGAAATGTTGTTGTTGCAGCAGGAACACGAAAAAATAAAGTGGGAACATGATCGGGAACATGACAAAAGGAAGTATGAGTTGGGAATTGAAAAGGAAATCACAGTGGAGCGGATGCGACAAGAATCTGAGAAAGCCAAGATAGAGTTGGAGGGACATCGTCTGGCTATTCTCAGAGATGGCGCGTTGTCCGGTGAGGGGCTGGGTGAACAGGTGACTAGGTCTCCTCATCGCTTTGATATTGGTAACCTGCGCTTGCTGCCTCACTTTAATGAAAGTGATCCTGACACGTCTTTTTTGTTATTTGAACGTGTAGCTAGGGCTAGAGAGTGGCCTGATGCGGACTGCGCTTTGATGCTTCAGTGTGTTCTCACAGGAAGAGCGCAGTCTGCATATTCCTCTTTATGTCTGGAAGATAGCTCTAGCTATAGTAAAATAAAATCAGCGGTGCTTAGAGCATATGAACTGGTGCCAGAGGCCTATCGACAGCGTTTTAGGTTCTTTGAGCAAAAACAAGATCAAACATATGTGGAGATGGCGAGGGATTTGTCTATTCATTTTAAGCGTTGGTTAACTGCTCTTGAAATCGATTCTTTTGACGATTTGTGTGAACTCATGATTTTGGAACAGTTCAAAAATATTCTTCCTGACAAGATTGTTTTATATAACAGAGCACAAGTTAATTTCTGCGGCTGGAGCTGCTGTGGCAGCTGATGAGTTTGTGTTGCTTCATAAGAGCAGGTTCGGAGGGCGCTCTGGGGCACTAACTGTTAGTGAAGGAAATAGAAAGGAGGTTGGGATGGATCCAAGGAAATTGAGTTTGGTCAAATCTGATGTGGATAAAAACAACGACACTTGCAACTACTGTCGGGAAAAGGGCCATTGGAAGGCAGAATGTCCTGCGCTTAGAGCAAAATCTGAGGGAGGAAGATGTTTTGTTGGGCCTGTTGCGTTGGCTCTGCCTGTGAAAAGCTGCTGTGTTGCCGATGTGCTTAAATCCCATTTATGTGGATCTGACGTTTTGGCATCTTATACTCCATTTATACGAGACGGCTTGGTGTCATTGGTAGGTAGTGATGTCAGAGTTCCAATAAAAATCTTGCGGGACACAGGGGCTTTTGACTCCTATATTGTTGACTCTGTTTTGCTGTTGTCTGGTGAAAGTGACACAGGTGACACAGTTCTGAGTTGGGGGATGGGATTAAAAGTTTTTCCTATTCCTGTTCATAAGGTGTATATTGACTGTGACCTTGTTAAAGGTGAAGTGGCTGTTGGTGTACGTCCAGGTTTGCCAATCGAGGGGATACATTTTATTCTGGGCAACGGTTTGGCAGGTGGCAGAATCTGGACTGATGTTCCCCCTGCGCCTTTAGTGACTGGTGGTCTGATTGAGTCTGGGTTTGAGGAGAGCTCTACAGTGGTGCCAGGGGTCACGTCCTCCTGCGTGATCACGCGTGCTATGGCCAAAACTATGCTGTTTAGAAACCAGAAGGCCAAGCATTGCTCCACTGGTCAAAGTGGTCGTGGTGGCGGCGGCTTTGGTGGTGGTGGCGGCGGCTTTGATGGTGGTCGTGGTGGCGGCGGCGTTGATGATGGTCGTGGCGGCGGCGTTGATGGTGATCGTGGCGGCAGCTGCAGCAGGGGTCGAGGACGTGGCAAGGAAATGTTCTGTTATCGGTGTGGAGACCAAGGACATATGGCCAGGGACTGTGACCAAACTGAGGATGTGTGCTACAACTGCAACAAACCAGGCCACATGGCTCGTGACTGTGGGCATGCCAACGACCGGAGGTGCTACTTCTGCGGTGGGCTTGGTCACATCTGGAGACGTTGTAATCAGGTGAAATGTTACAGGTGTGGCGACATTGGCCACGTTGCGGGGCGTTGCAGTAAAGCCAGTGAGGCTAACGGCTACAACTGCAGAAAAGCGGACCATCTGTTAACAGTTTGCCCCGAGGAAAATGCGCATAACTTATATCTTTGACTGTAATGTATTGTCTTTCATACTGTTTTGTAAATCCTTCTTGCTCTGCCCATCTTTTTAAAGTGTGCTTCTCAGGTACCTGGGTTGCTAAAGATGTGGCTGGGTGTTGGAGGCGCGGTTGGCAGAATGAGGGTTGTATGTTACAGTTGTTGGTTTTCTTTAAAATAGGGTACCTTATGTCTTTTGTTTTTGTTTTTCATTACTGGTTGGGTTTTTGTTTTTGTTTGGGATGGGGTTGGTTTGTTGTGCCGGTGGTCCTGGGGACACCGACTTTAAGGGGGGGGTGTGACGACCCCTGCTTCAAGGTCTCCTGTGGGGTGCATGGCCCTTTAACGTTTCTCCTCTTTTGTGTGACGACCTGATTGAGGACACCTGGCGGCTGTCGGAGGATTTAAGAGGAGGAGCCGGAGTCTCGATGGCTCTCTCCCCGCAGAGGACCGGACCTCGGATAGCAGCCACGTCGCCTATGTTTTTTGTTGCTTTGTCTTTTTGTTTGTCTTCGGACACATTAAGTTTTTGATAAATAAACACCTTTTTTACATATTCTTGTCCTTCCCACGCTTTTTGTTATGGCTAAGAGCCAGGCCATGACACACCCAGGGGGGAAAAGATAACACATTGACCCAGGAATAAGTGCTCAAAACATGGGTAAAAGTGTGTTAAAAAGTCGGGGAACATGTTTAAAATGACAGACTGCTGCTTGTTGGCAGGCTGACTCAGTTCACTTGTCTCACACACACACCCAGGGGGGAAAAGATAACAGATTTAGCCAGGAATAAGTGTCTGAATCATGGGCACATTAGTGTTTAAAGTCGGGAGAACTGTTTTAATTCAGGACCAGGGTGAAAAGATAACGCATTTACCCCGCTAAAGTGTTCAAAACATGGGTATATTAGTGCTCAAACTCGATTAAACTGTTTTAATTGCGGAGGTTTTACGTTTTGGTTCACTCGTCTCACACACCCAGAGTGTTAACAACATTTTTACAAATTTTATAAATTAGTCTAGAGCTCGATCTATTGTAATTTGAGTGTATTACACGTCTGTCCATGGAACGCGAGTTTTGCGCAATTTGAGTGGACTAAACTGATATGCAGCTGGAGTAACGTACATTGAGACGCATTGGGACATTTCATCGTCACTTTCAATGTTAACCTTGTACATAGGAGGCACAATACGCTTACTCTACTATAGCAGTTGTAGACAGAGTAATTCACTTTTCTTATTTTCCTGTTAGGTGTAAGCTCATAAGAGATGCGAGACCAAAAAATGGTGTCTAACCTTTAAAGGTGCAAAAACAACAATTGAAACCAACTTTGAACTTTTGATAGGCTGTAAATCTGGCCAACTGATGAATGTCAAATGAAAAAATGTGCCCTTTTAATTAATGTGATTTAAAATGTGTATAAATCATTTTGGATTGAATCCAATAAGCTAACATCAACATGTGCACAAACCCTGTCCCTCCAACATGATGGACAAGCCCTCTGGCAGCTTTCTTGCTTTTTCTTCTAATATTGACTGTTGGCAGACTGAATGCTAGTGACTCGTCTGCCTGTTCTTATTTACCCCTATATTCTCAGTTCCTTTGGATCAGACTTGCTAATGCCAGTAAACTTTGTATTATGTAAATAAATCCTTGAACTATTCCTGCTTACTCCTCCTCCCACTACTGCCAACATTCAGACTGTGACAGTACAATCTGGCCTCAAAATTGACTCAGCAGACAGTCACCAGCCCTGCCTTGCATTTCCGGGGCGGGAGATTCATGTGATTGGTTGTTGGTCGAGCTTCAGACACGCCCGCCGCCGTGTGTAGGGGCGTGAGGTGGAGGTGGGGCAGTGAGAGGATAAAAGGAGGGTGCTGCACAGCGACACTTCACTGACAGCAGATCAGGATCAGGTAGGAGGATGAGGAAGACTCTGCTGTGGCTGCTGGCCTCTCTGGCCTTTGTCTCCCTGACTTCTCTTGCTGATGGAGCTCCATTGTAAGTAGACATGTCGTACCTTTACCCACTCCAGCTCTGCTTGAATCATTTCTCAGAAAACAAAGATATATATGTTTTTGTTTTTGGTCATCTTCCTGGTATCAGGGGTGCACATAACTGGTACGCAGGTACGCATGCACGGCAACAATCTGAAATGCGTATAACGTCACTTGTGTCACTATGCGCCTTTGCGTACCTTGCGTAGGTCATCAAAATAAAACACTTATTTAGTCTACACGTGTTTCTTGTCAACACTCAATGGAGTAAACTATAAGACATCATGTCCAAAAAAAACAAAAGACATTAAGCAGCCACTTTGGCGTTTTGCTCCCTGCAAAAAACGCCAGACATTCTTGGACTGATTGAACTGGGTGCTGGCCGAGCCGCGCAGCCGCAGGCCATAACCGACGGACCTGTGAAGCTTTTACAGGAGGCAGAGGCTTAGAACACTGGACGACTAGGTTGGTTGCCGTGTGCACAGACAGGGTTGTTGTTAACGTCGGTACAGCATTATACCAAAACTACACCAACTGGCTGTGGAGGGAGACACCCTTGTGCACATTCTGTGCCCCGCACACACTGGAACTGCACAAAATCAGCTGATCACAACGTTCACGTTCTGTGAGACTTTTAATCGTTCTCTGGTCAAGCTGCTGCAATTTTATTTACAACAAGGTGGAGCAAAACACAAAGCTGCAAACTTGTGTTAATGGAAGAGTTTGAAATCAGACAGAGGTGGAAGAAGTACTCAGATATCTGTTACAAGTAAAAGTCCTGCATTCAAAATGTTACTCAACTAAAAGTAGAAAAGTATTATCATCAAAATAGTTAGTAGTTAAAGTACTGATTTAAGAGTTGATTATATTTCACCTCATTAATCCAAACCTGTAAAGTAACTCAAGGTACTAAATACATGTAGTGGAGTAAAAGTGCACCATGTACCTCTGAACTGTAGTGGAGTAGAAGTACAAAGTAGCATACAATGGAAATACTCAAGTAAAGAACAAGTATCTCAATATTGTACTTAAGTACATTATTTAAATACATGTACTGTCTTAGTTACTTCCCACCTCTGAAATCAGATATGAGATCAGAATCAGACGTCTGCATTCATATTATTACCTTAACTCGTGTCTTTCATAATGAGGAGCTACAGTCCACTCTGTGTTACAAAATGCAAGGTCATGTGGTGTTTCAAATGATGCCAAGAAGTTGGCCTAATTTTATTTTTAAAGTTTGCACAACGATGCAAAATGCCAGACAGAGCAAGGGTCTAGAGATATGATGAAATATTGTGTTGATCCAGTGCTGGATTGTTGTCAATGTAATCAATAGATTACTCATTGTGTGTGCATCCATGCTGGAGCTCATGATCCACATCTTTGAAAATAGATTTAGTTTTTTTTCTGCAGTTTGGGGGAATTGAAACCTAAAGTTAAATGTTCTGCTCCCCCTCACTGTTCCCTTTAATTATGTTCTTACCAATTGGGTTCGGTTTATTTATTTGACCACTTTAAGCACATATATACACACAACTCATGCAGTATTCCATATATTTATTTGTATGTTAACAATTTCCAAAATACATGAATATTCTTTGAACTTTACTATTTGAAACACTTCAAACTCGTCCTGCGAATGGAAATAAACCATGGAGGCATCATTAATTCAAGATGAGTAGTTAATTTAAAAAAGGTTGTTTTGTGTGTGAATTCATATTTTGAACTCTTTTTTTTCAGTACATCCAAAACAGCTGGTTCTTTCTGCTCGGTGACATCACATTCACATTAATATATATCTTCTTTTCCGCCCCTGCTTTGCAGGGAGGTGATGTCTGCCCCCAACTTGTTGAGGGTAGGAACAGCAGAAAACGTTTTTGTGGAGTGTCAAGACTGCACAGGTGAAGACAAAAGGGTGGAAATCCATGTGATGAACCATCCAACCAAAAACATAAGGCTGGCAACTGCATCTGTGACACTTAACAGTACAGATAAATTCCAGGCGCTGGTACAGATCATGGTAAATGATGCGCTTTAACTCGGCTGCATTTTCTAAGATGATCTATGAATTAAAAAATGTACATAATGTACACACCCTGCTCCTATTGAACTGTTTGTGTTTCTTCATAATGATTCAGATCCCTGCTGGAGACTTCAGTAAGGATCCCAGCATTAAGCAGTATGTGTATCTGCAAGCTGAGTTCCCTGACCGACTGCTTGAGAAGGTTGTCATGGTCTCCTTTCAGTGTGGGTATATCTTCATCCAAACTGACAAGACCATCTACACCCCCAACAGCAAAGGTGAATTTATTCATTATCAATAAATCAAGCAATATTTATTCATAAAGCCCCATATTACAAATGTGAAATGTGCCAAAAGGGGTCTCAATTAATCAGTGGAAAAATTAAAACTATAAAGATATGACTTAAAGGTCACCTATAAGGCAAAATCCACAATGTAATGTATTTTATACATTAATATGTGTCCCCTCTGTGTTAAGAGTTTCATGAAAAAATACTCTCTCTCTTTTTGTCCTGATCCATATAAAAACCTGTCTGAAAATGAGCTGATCAGATTTAGGCCACTTTGTGATGTCACAATGTTTGTTTTGGGTTGTGCAACCATTAGCCAATAACCAACCAAGGTAACACCTGAATTTCATCCTAGAAGGTTTCCCATTCCTCAAATTTCCCCTCCTCGACTCCTATCCTCGACTCCTATCCTCGTGTCTTAGTCCCTCCCACAGGAGATGCGAGCGGAGGAGTCGAGGAGGGGAACCGAGGAGAGAGGAGGGGAAGCAGCAGGCGGTTAGAGAAAGGAGAACTCCTCTCCTCTGAGCGGTCATTTTAAAGAGACGTCCCTTAATGATGACAGGAGGCACAGCAGCACTCTGTCTGATGGACAGATGTGTTCATGATGACTTATATATTTACTTTTAATTAATTGACAGTGCGGTATAATGGGGCAATAGCAGGCTACAGATGCGGACATATATACACAAACACACACACACACACACACACACACACACACACACACACACACACACACACACACACACACACACACACACACACACACACACACACACACACACACACACCTACACATTGTACAGCACACACCTACAGCTCCTAAAGCATATAATATCAGGCTACAGCCGTTGTGTATTTTATTTTGTGAAGCACTAAATGGTTTTAGAAAAATATCGACTCTTTGTTTTTAGATATCTACTCAACTAAAGCATACAAATACAGAGAGTAATGTAGGCCTGTTATACTGAGTGATATATATTATACACACTGCTCTGCTTTCTGCACGGACCTCACAGCTGTTCTCACTGTAAACATCGCGTCGCAATTAAAGCAGTTAATAAAATAATATTCAGGGGATGCATGCAGGGCTGTCATTGGCTGAAATAAGTCCGGCTGTGCGTCACGTCTCTTTGAAACATCTCTGTTCCCGGAAATGCATCCGCGGAGGAGCCGTGGAGGACCGTGGAGGACCCATCAGTGTATCCTCGGTTATAGCTCCTCCAGAGAGCCTCCTCGACGCTCGATCCTCGGTCCTCGATGTGCATTTAGAGA